TCGGTAGTCGTTGGCGGTGACGTCAACCACCTTCATGCATTTCGAACACCAGAGCGGTTCACGTGTTTCTAAGTCAAGATTTGCTTGAGACGAATCTACCAACATGACTATGTAGCAATAACATGTAATCAGAGTTCATGCAGAATATTATATCCGTTCACTTTTGTTCGTTAGCCGAAAGCCCAACAATGCAGCGTGTCGGATTCCTGATACAAACCGTTGGCGTGTTTTGGCTGGACTTCCGTGTCTGCAGACCGGCGCTTGAAGAACACGACTTTATCCCTCCGTCTGGTCCTTGCCTCCCTGCGTGCTCAGCAATGCACACATTCATTTCCGAATTTCTCACCAAGCAGTCAAACATTTCCCCGATACTATTAGCCACGAAATGCCAGGAATTACCCCACGCAACTCGCACTTCTCGTACTCAATCCAGATAACACCCACGCAGTCGCCGCCAGAAGTTCTGCTACCAGGCAACCACCTGCTTGCCCCGTGGGAGAAGGGGCTCGAAATCTCGCGGGTATTAGCGTATTTCATCGGCTCGCTGCTCTTCCTGCTCGGATCGATCTTCTTCTTCCCCGAGTACTCGGTTATGTGGAACGGCAACGCTGGTCTCTTCGGTAGCTGGGACTTCGTGATCGGATGTATCTGTTTCTTCACTGGCGCCAACCTCGACTTCATCCAGACGATACGCTACAACCACGGCACCCCGCTCCGTCAGGTGCTCCGGGCATTCACAGCGTTGTTCAACTACATGGCCACGTCAATCTTCATCTTGGGAGGGCTCTACTTTCTCCCGTCGTGGTATCCGAAGGCACCGGAGCTTGGGTGTTGGGCCTTCATCATCGGCTGCATCCTCTTTTGCATCGCCGCCGTGAGCGACATCCTCTTCATCTGTATGACTCACGAGGACCCGCGCGTGACAGGCTTCAGGATCACGAATTTATTCTGTTGGGGAACGGTAGCGGCACTCGGAACGTTTGTCGGCGCGCTATGCTTCATCATCGGCAGTTGGTTCTACCTGCCGAAATACATCAACCACGTGGACAAAGGCACATACTACATGAACTTGGCAATCACGTTTTACGTTGTCGGTAGTGTGAGCTTCATCATCAATAGTTGCGCGCTGGCACCCGATGTCTACCGGGCTATCAACGCGAGTCGGACTCACAAAAGCGAAAGTAAGTAAGTTTGAATTTGTATGTTCATTAATATCTTGATACCCACCCACCCTGCAAAAAAGAAAAACGAGGATACAATGCAGAAGCACGAGCGATGTTTGCAGCCGCCTTCACTTGCTTTCCTGCATCTTGTAAGATAAAAGTGACATCGAAAAACTACATCGATGTGATTATTGCCTTGCAAGTTGCAAAACAGCTTTGAGTCGATGAGGTGACAGTACAATAAGTATGTGAAACAAGTCATCAACCACCACAAAGGAGCAAAACCATCTGTGGGTAAGCTTCATTTCTTCGGTACCTCCTACACAAAATCGAATTCGTCTGAGTACAAGCACACCTCGTACTTTCAAGTATCGTACCAATTCAATCGATCAGAGCTTTGGTCTCAGTCTTACCGATTGAATTGTTACGATCCCACGGTGGAGGCCTGCCAGCTAGCCGGATTGTCGCCGATGTTTTACTCGCACCACATGCACTCACGCTGCAGTGTTGCCATCCCACTGCGGCGATAGCTCAGCTGTGGCTTTACAAAGTCAAAGTCACTTTGACAGTCGAGGCCTCGACTGTAGAGGTCTTTCGACTCGAAAGTTTCGAGGTAGTCGCCGCTTCAAGTGCAACTTGTCAAATGCGTCCCCTCCCCATTTAGTGTTGTTTTTAGGAGGTTTTTAGGATTTGTAGGGTACTTAACGTCTATTAACCGATTAGATAGCAGTTATTAATAATAAAAAGGAGCAAAATGCCCCTGTGTGGGCCACACATTGTGCACTACACTATTCTTTATTTACAACTCAACGCACGCACTAGCCCAGAGCCGTGCTGCCCAGAGGACTGTGCAATGTAAGACACTACCGGCCTACACCACGCACTAACCGTCACTCTGGTGACGGGGGAACAAGCCATTGATCACAATGCAGGTCAAGGGTGAGAGCAAGACGTTCAACCTCGAGGAGATCTCGTCCATGGAGCTGGGCGAGGTGGTTGAGGCCTTCATCACCAAGGGATCC